CACCGCCCCTCGCCGCCGCTGGTTGGCTTGGAGGCACCGTGATTGGCACCGCCGCGCTCAGGGGGTTTATTCGCACTCGTATCCCATTTCACCTGCTCGGGGGTATCGGCCGCGTCTGCCTGAGGGGGGGCGAGGGGTCGTCTCTTTCCTCTCCCCCTTCAGCAGCGCCGCCGCCGCCCCGCGCTGCCCGCACGGCAGGATGCGGTTTCCTCTCGGTGCTCCCCGTGGCTGCACAACGCACGCACCGGGCTCCCAAGCTTTCTCGGGCCGCCAGGCGCTTCCAGAGCTTCTTCAGCATCCCCTCCAGTACCTGCCAATGGATTTATAAGCGTTAGGACTTTCCACACGTGTCTCCTCTGCAATAGGTCATTCTGCTTCTTTTATTTGCTCTTGCAGCTCAGGTAGGCTGTCAGGTTTTGGTTTTCTTGATGCCAGAGGCAATAATAATGGAACTTTAATATTCAGTTGAGGCGTTTATTTATTGAGAAAGGTTTTACCAATACCAAATTATAATCAAAGGCATGATTTTAAACTTGTTTGACACTGGACGACAAACCCAACTCTTTTTCTTCAACTTTTAGTTTGCTTTAGTATAATTCTTTATCTGGTTAAATCAAATAAATATAAAATAAATCCACTAGGACAGTCATTACTAGTCTTTATTCTGCTTTAATTAAGCTGGTTTTAAAGCCAATTCAAAATTAGACGTGCAATACTGTGTATGAAAGACCCTAAGGTCTTCATACCTAAGAAGAATGGCAGCAACTGCATTTCCATCACTGCTTCCTGCTGCGTCTTGTTCTCTTCTGCTTAGAACTGACCCTACCAAAAACTGCTTCGTCTTTGAGTTACAAGGTGAACAAGAAACGTCAGAGGCCAATATTATAGCTCACAGTACAATGTATTTGAAAGCTATGTGCACATGTTAAAAGGTTATTTTTGGTTTAGGCTAAAATTAGTCTTTTGTATTCTTCTAACCTAACAGTCTTCTCACGACTTGACTAGATCGAAGTCACATAACTTCCAAAACAGAGGGGCAGAATAAATTAAAAACAGAATGCCAAAAATTCTAAAAATAGAATAGGCTCCCGGAGGTGCAGGGCGTCCTTCAGGCTTTCGAGGTTCATAACTGCCGTTGTGGTCAAACGTGGCACTTAGCTAATCACATACCTGACATGAAGCGCGTTTCACTCCTCAGAAGTGTCATTTGGTGTGTATATTTTGCCTTTGCTTTCCTCTTAACAGAACTGCCAAAATAAGGTTCCCAGAGGGAGCTGGCTTAGGGTAAGCGTTTTCCCTTTTCTTTGGGCAAACTGACAGGAAAGGAGAAAACTCTGGGCTCCCCGGGGACCTTTCGCGATTTGTACTAGGCGGGAGGCGGGTGATGGCCGCGGCGGTGGCGGCTGGCGGGCGGTGGCGGCG